TGGTTTATATATTTTTATCTTCTAAGAGTATAGCTTCTTGTGACTTCAGAATTGGAGGAAGAATCATGTTAGAAGACATAAAGCTGTAAAAGCCATGGTCTCTGCAGGTTGTGATCATGACAATGATCACAATAACCTTATTGTTTGCAGGCAGTCTCATTACTCTGGGCCAAATTCAAACCGTTAACTGTTTAAATTTGCTGGTTTTCATCTAGAAGAAAATACATTCATATGAATTGAGGGTTCAGCCCATCATGCTTCTGCATACAATCTGAGCATGGGCTTCTAGGCTGTTGTTCTTGAATTAGAAATTCAAATATGGGTAATTTTAAATTGTTCTGACTTGTGCTTAGTTTTAAAGAAATTAAAGTGCCTTTTGCTTAAGGACTATTGTGGTGTGGAGATTGGGAGTGTAATGACAACATCTATAATAATTTTTTAGGTGACTGTAATGTAAAGGAGAATACTTGCTGTTAAAGAACTTTTTACTTGTCTTTCAGTGTTTTCAGGTAGGGATCAGAGAGGGCAGCTTAGTTTCTCTATGAAAAATAAGAACTTTTAGTACAGGATTTATTTGTTTTATAGGGGTATCATGTGTGTGGTATGTTCTGCTGTGTGGATACAAAACTAAATTCTGACTGCACTTTTTGTTGCTGTGTATAAATTTTATTGTTAATACAGGAACTGTTTCTGTTTAAGCAGTGTGTATATTTATATATATTGAATGTGGAGAACAGCATGAATTGCCTTTTGCCCATTTGCATTCTTTGAATTTTTTCTTAGGAAGCAAAACATAAATATATAATAGTTTGGTATGCAAAGGGAAGTATACCAGCATAGTGGAAGGAAGACATTCAGAAACACGCCTTCCTTTTGGAGAAAGCCATTCTTCCCAGTATTGTGCTAGTTAGCCTTCCTTTGAACAAAGCCACTTCCACAGTATCTGTAATTCCTGCATGCAAATTTAAACTTCTCAGAAGATTCTTTGAAACGTATTTTAACCATTCTTCAAAGGTATTTTAAACATACCTTTAAAAGGTATTTTAAACAAGGATATAACATTGTCTGTTATATCGTGACACTTAATGTCCTCTGTGGTAATGTGGGAAGCTGTGATAGAGTGAGGGATGTGGGAACCACTTGATTCCTATTCTTCCCTCTGTCCAGTATTGCGTTGAAATGTCTTCCTTTATTTTGCCTACACACCATTCCCAATTATGAATATCATCATCTCAGCAGGTTCCAACTGTGTTATTGCAATTAAATATACTTAGTAGCTACTCTTTAATATCAATAAAATGAGGTACTTAAAGGGTACTGCCTGAAGTGTTTGGATCTTAAAATTTTTCCCATAATCTGCTGTTACGTGCCAGATCAACTTCACTTCCTGAACATGCAGCATTCCCACACCCTCCTGCAGCTTTCCAGCCAGTCTGTGTTTTGCCAAAGTATTGCTTCATGTGTCATCCAGAAATTGCATAATTCCTCAGCTCCTGCTTTCCTATTCTAGTCTAACCTGTATGCAGTGATACTCTGGGACACAGAACGTGTACATTCCTGTCCTTCTTTCCTCCTAATGGTTCCCAATGTCTGTAAGTCCATGGCATGTCATTTAAATGAAAGGCCTGTGTGGCCATCTACATGAATGAAGATATACTGCGCATGATGCATAGATTGCTGTGGATTCTGCAAGTATTAAAAAACTTTCCTTTCCTTCATATTTAGTCAGTTAAATTTGTGTTAATTGAATTCCTGTATTGCTCTAGTCTTTTCATCAGCTGGAATTTTGCTTTCTCTGTGATAGAGTTAGCTTATATTGAATTTGAGAAGTTCTAAATGGTCCTCATAATGGATTGCTAAGACTGTGAGGAGAAGCTGTCAAACTCTTGATTAGCTGTTCTGTCAGAGAAGAATAGCAACGAGTCAAAACTATGGACGCATTCCCAGGCAAGAATTTTGTGTTATTCCAAAGAGCTCTTTCTAAAGCCATTTACCCTTGTAGTAATACCTAAAGCAGCTTTTAAGTAGACAGAATACCCTTCTTAAAATGAAATATGATGCTCCAGGGTGGTTGTAAAAGAAAATGCTGTTTCTGGTTCAAGTCACATGTAATAGATCATGGCGGTTAAAGCTCTTTGTTGGTAGAATGAATCAGTATTGACTGTCTGCTTACTCTTGTGGGTCATTACCTTGTCAGTTAATTGGAAAGCTTGTGAGTGGCTTCTCTGTGACAGTGTTTTGTGGTAGAAAAAAACAACCTGGGAATAAATGTAGTTAAAAGCAGTTTGTAGTTGGTAATGATGGCTCGTTTGTACTTGATTTTGATTGCTGTGTGTGCATTGTATGATGGGCTAATCTCTGCAAGGTGTAAGGGATTCCTCTGGTATCACTCTGAAGGCTAACAATGATTTGAAACATAATATTACTGTGAAATTCATGCCATAAATAAAACAAATACACTTGTAAGAGTCTGTGTGAATGCTGTATCTGTAACAGAAGGATCTTTAGATTTGAGTCTCTGGTTAATTCAGCTATCATTAGCTTGGGTCAAATTAATTGTTTACTAATGATATCCTTTGTTGTATAGGTCAGATTAATATAAAATTCCATTAAAACTATAGTTCCACAAAATCATCTTAAAACTGTAGTTTTGCTGTCATTGAAGTGGCAGCATTTCATTCCTTATTTATTTTTCAGTGACTTGTTACAGACTCATGAAAAAGAAATCCAGGTATAGAGAGAATGTTTTTTTCCCACTCAGCACCTGGTCCTGAAAGTCTGCATGGGTTTGTGCATCCTTGTTAGCAATGCATATTTGACAACTTGATCCTATTTGGCCATGCTGTTTTGGATGCATTGCTTCAAAAGAGGTTAAAAATTGATCTCTCTTCCTGTTAGCTGTGTGAATTATGCGGAGCAGTGAAATGTATGAACTTGAGGGGGGCTTTTTGTGGGGAAAGGAAACAGATGAGAGGAAGAGCACACGGAAGATATTTGTTAGAGTTGCCATCTATATACTGTTGTTCTTCTGGCTAAAACTGCACTTTACATTTTATTATGGCCTGGGTCTTTAGAGTTGAATTTTATGAGACATTTTTGGTACAATTGGGTCAGTCACCCAGTATTCATTCAATTACACACTGCAGCCTTGCTGCTGCCCCTTGACATCTGTACACAAAGCCCATCTTTATTTTACATAACCTAACCAGCTCAGATGCCAGTTGTGGGAGATGCTGAAAGTCACTGGGAGCTCCAAAGCATAAAAAAAGAAGTGGCTAAGTAGTTCATTCTGTCTGGCATGCCCAGAGGCAAGCAGGGAGCTGATAATGGCATCATTACACCAGCAGTACTTTGTGGTTTGCACATATATTGCTATAGAAAAGGGAGAAATTTGAGACTCTGTGAGACATGTCATTAAACACTTTTACATAGGTAGGCAGCTGCATTTCTGTTTGTTTCATTGCACAGGCACTGGGGTGGTAATGAGGTGACAGGCCTGGCTGGGCTGTAGATGGGAAAGATGTGTGCTCCTTGAAGCAGGGTATTAGGGACAGCAATGCAAATAGGTGCCTCATTAATGTGATTAAATGATACTGTGAATTCTGCCTCTGAGGCTGTTTCCCTCCTGTGTGCAGTTGGCCACGATGGTCCAACCAGCCTTTCTCTAGGCGATCAATAGCTGTTTGCAACTCCAACTTCACGTGCTTTGGGATTCGTGCTCATGAAAATGCTGACTCTTGAACTAGGGCTCAGTAAGTGCTGTGCTTGGAAAATAAGGGCAGGTTCTCAAAAGAAAACTGAAATGCATAGAGGAGAGGAATGCACAGGCAGCAGGAGCTGCGTGCATGTCAAAACAGGGGCTCAGTCATAGTGTGCCTTCCGAATAACCCTGGCTTTTGTTTCTTCCACCTGTAAAATTAATACAACACTGCCTTGTCATGCAGGAGTATCACTGAAATAAATCCAGTGGTGTCTCTGATATGTTTGGATATTTCAATGCCTAACACTGGAGAAAAGCTCAGAAATACATAATTAGTTCTTATTTGGGAAAAATAGTAACAGTAGGTCCTGAAAGAGAATTTTTACAACACAGGCATGAGGAAAAATTGAGATGCTGCTAATGGGGAGTGCTGCCTGTCACGTATACAGAACTGAGGTGTTTGACAGAAAAGAAAATAGTGTGTGATAAAGTAATTGAACACTGTATAAAAAGTGTACACCTCCTAAGTCAAAGAGACGGGAGTATTAAATTTGCAAAAATAACCCCTCTCCTAACTCCTGATGTTTGATTTGCTTGGAGTTTTGAACTTCATGTTAAAAATGTAAATGTTGGATTTATTTACAAGAGCCAAAAGCACAGGTGTACTTTAGATTTGGTAATAGAAAAGTAGGAAACCTACATGCTTATAATATGTGGAAGAAAACCTTGAATTTTGTTCATATAAGCATGGGCAATGCCTCAATTTCAGCCCACTCTTGCATCAATTTGGTACAAATATTTGGAAGGTTTTTGTGGATCTAAAGAAACTGAGTACTGGTATTTAACATAAAGTTACTGTGAGAACAAGTGACTGTAGTTGAACCTTTTCTGGTAGAGTTAAAAACGGGGTTGTAAGAGGATAGTAAACTGTCAGTTCTTTGTGTCAGAAATGCCTTTGTGTTAGGTTTTTGGATGATAGTCTAGCAAAATACCAGTCCTGGACATTGCTGGGAACTTCTAAGTTTGCTTTAGGTATTATGATTACACAAATAATCACAATTGTGTTTCAAAGGGTAAGTAAAATCTGTATACTTGTTAATAAAGAACTGTAAAGGTGATTTTGGTTAGTGATTAGCAGCCCTGAAACTAAGCATAGTTTTTGTCTTGACATTGAGTCTGTTGTGTTTATATGAGTCAGCTTAACACTTGATTTCCATATGAAAATGTGTCTTGTGTAGCTGGCCATGTTGAGCAGAGGTTAACTTCTTAATTTTATTTATTTTATTTTAATTCCTTCTAGCCTTCAGGAGAAAGAACAGTTGTTCAGCATGTCCATTAAAGAAACTACTGCCAAAGTAAGTACATGTTTTCAGTTCTTCAGAATATTTACAGAAGCAGATCGTAGCATGCACATTGTCTTTGTTTTAGGAAGTTGGTTTTGTGCTGCTCCTTCTAAGAAGATTTTGCACGTACATATTTTTAAACGTACACTGAAAAGCCCTCCCCAACTTTTTGTTTGAACAAACGACAGGGATTATAATACTTCAGGAAGCAGATAGAGTAATGTAGCAGTTCTTTTGGGGGGGCACCCTGGAGTGTCCCTGGAGGGCCCCCTAAGCTGTGAGTTTGCTGGCAGCAGCAGGCAGGCAAGGAGACTCCACACGGCTTCTGAGGGTGCTAATTAAATGGGGGTTTATTTGGGGTCCCATCCCTGGGAACAGCATGGTGGTTACTGAGGGGGAAAGGGGGAAGGGAGGGGGGAAAGGGAGAGGGAGAACCTAGGGGATGGAAGGGCCAAAACAGGAGGAGAAGGGTCAAGAGAGGGTCTGATTTCCCTCGCACAGCTTAAGAGGGAAAATCAAAGTGGGCACGGAATCAGATTTGGGCCAAGGGGATTACAGATAAATGATGTTTCAGGGCACGACCACAGAATATACCACACATTTTGGAGGGGTGAGACAGAGCATACCATTTAAATAAAATGCAACGCTACAGAGTAATCTCTTCTTTCTCAGCTTTTTTACTACGATCCATTCTCTTGCTCAGGTCTCTATTCAGGAACACACTCCTCAGCTTCATGAAATCATGGTCATAGCTGAGTGTTTTGGCTCTTAATACAGAATCTCTTTCTTCTCTAACTAGTTTTGTTGGTGTGAAGGGAAGGGCATAAATGAAGTGCCTCTTTTCCTCACCATTTACTAATAATCTAGCTAGCAATCTCATTTTCATACCCTTTAAAAATAAAATAAAAATTATATAGCATATTTAGCATAATTTTTGTTTCTAACTAGAAATGTTAATTATTTTCCTTTATCTTTCTTATTTCATGGACTTCTTTCAAGAAGTAGAACACTAAAGTTTTATTTCTGAATGGCCCAGTTGCTCCATGGATGCTCTAGAAAAAAAAAAATCCATTTACTCTAGCCAATTCACATAGATCCGTATGAAACAGGACATGAAAAATATGTCTGGGTTTTGATTACCAATGAATTTATACTCTGAAATAAACTCGTTTTTCGCATTTTCTCTAATAGCAGTCACCTAAATCAGTAAAAATTTTATCCTTCATCATCTGTTTTTTCTAATCATCTTGACCAGCACTTTGTGCACTGTTAAAAAGATAATTTGAAGACTGCATCTCATAACCACTCCTTCCTTCTCTTCCACTTTATTTTGATCTCATTTTCTCTATTCCTTGCTTATACCCACATCTTGGGAAAATTAATATAGACTATAACAATGATTCCCCCTGTATTTTTAAGTTACTATGAATAAAGTATCAAGGAAATTACTGTAACTGACCTACAGCTCATCTACTAAAACGAATGAGACATTCAGTAGCTCAAGTGATGTTTGAAGTGTTGCTTCAAGCTATTTGCAAGCTAAAACATAAGGTATGGAATTTGCCTTTTCCCCATAAAAAGTCTCGTGAGGTTTTATTTTATCACCATAGTACCTGGAGACTTTGTCAATAACAGCTGAAGCATTGGGTAACTGTAGAGAAGTCTGTGAGGTGGAATTTCACAGCTTGGGTTTTTTTTCTTTATATTGTCAATAGATAAAATACTCTTTTATTTTTATTCCATTCCTATGTGATGACTTTTATTTGTTGTAGAAGATAAATAGGAAGCATGTAGTAAGACTACTCCAAATAATTTCCTATTTAGTTTATTCATATAATCTCATCCTATTATTTTAATCTCAAAATAAATAGAGCTGGTCTTTTAAACCTTTTTATTGTATGGGGAAAACATTCTTTTGTCCAAGGTCTATCCTTTTCCCCTGTGCCACTGGCATTTCTATGGCCTTTGCTGCCTCATCTCTCTTGTTCTCAGCTGTGGCTGCAAAAGCTAACTTCTGCCTGCTAATGAAGGCAGTGCTGCCCTTATTCACCACCTTCCTTCAGAAATTAATATCTGCTTTCACTAATGACAAGATTGTGCTGTGTGGGAGACCAGGTAGACTGTTCCTTCCTTTAGGCAGTGTTAGCAGAATTTGTTTATCTTTTCCAAGGTGCTGTTTTAAAGAAATATGAAGGTTACTTAAAACTTCTTTTCTCTTGAGATGATTGGAGAGTCAATTCCAGTGCTTTACTTGCTGTCCTTGTCCCTGTTTTTGCTGCTTTAGATTAACATCATAAACTGGAAAGATGGAAGAGGATGAAAATGGGCAAATTTGCCTTTGATATTTTGCTGTTTTTCCTCTTGATACTGCATATCTTTGCTAACCAGCTTCCTACTGGTTTCAGATAGACTGCTTTTTTGAGTAATGTTTCAATCTGAATGCAGATTTGTAAGGTATATTCCTAAACAAGAGCCCTTCAAAAAAAAAAAAGTCTACTTTAAAAAAGCTTCAGAAATGACTGAAGAGGATTTAAAAATAAATACAGTAATACTTGTCTGCAAAAACACTTTGCTGAAACTGAAAGAGAGTTTTTTAGACTTTGAGCTTGCTGGTCTGTGGGTCACAGCGGAGCTGATCACTGGGAGCAGGGAAAGGGCATTGCTGGGACCACAGGCCTCTGCAGTCAGGCTGGGTAGAGAAGGATGGTGCTCACTGGAAGCCCAGGACACTGGCTCTGTGAATGTTCACCATCCTTGTTAGCTAAGAAATAACCTTTCCTTAGTGGCTGAGTAAGCTACTGTAATGAATAATGGGATCTGTTATGAAGATACAATAATTACAAAAAATGAAAAGAATTGGAGCTTATGGAGTAGACCTGATGTAACACAGAGGCAGTGCCATTAGTTCAGGGTATATTACTTTGTCTTTCCCACTTGCTCATTTAGTTTTGTTGAACTATGCCATATGATAGGTCTGAAGATTAATGTTGTTCATTTATCTACAGAATACATGTGACATAGATACAAGCAGGGGCCCAGCAACCTACTTATCTCATGTTCCAGAAGAATCATCTGCGAGTTGGAGGGGCTTCCTGCCTCTGCTCCCTGCATTTTGGTCCATTAATAAAGAGTGCCAGCAAGCTTTGTTCTGACAGTGGGGCTTACAAAGTGGACAGTGCTCACTAGAAACTGATTAAACATCCCACCTTATTTTGCATAATTGCCAAACAGCTGTCTAGTGATAATGACTTTTAACTTATTACCAGCATGGGATATATTCATGCAGTTTTCCTGGAGCTGAAAGATTCCCCATCTAATTGCAATTCACTGAGCCGTTCAATGCCCCTAAAGAGAGAGTACTGCTTGGAAAGAAGTCATTAAAAACTTTGAGATTTATTTTGGAGATGGGAGACAGAAATGGCCTTTGGGTCTTTTAGGCACATTTATTCACCTCTGACAGGTTTGGGGTTTTAAAAACATTTTAACTGAATTAGCTGGTGAGTCACTTAGAAGGGGGTGCTCACACAAATTGAAATATCTAGGAATTAAAAAATTATAGTAGGTGCAGAAGCCATGTATGTTTTTAAATTAATAGGATGACTCTGAAGTCTTTACGAGTAACAGTTACTGCTTGGAGGATAGTTCTGTTGACTCAAAAAAAAAAAATGACCCATTTATAGTTAACAGATAATCTCAGCAAAGCAAGAGGGTGTTATTAACTTAAAAGGATTTAAAGCTAGTCTTATGTATGAATTATTATAATTTAATTGTGCAAACAGATAAACCATTAGAATTACCAAGTTTTGCTCTTTAAAAAGTGAAGTGATAACTGTGCCTCTGTTAATAAGCATGGCACTTGTTTTTGAGGAAGGAAAAATAAAAGTGAAGGAAGGCAGGGAAACTGCTCTCTGGAGATTCCCTTTCATATGACATCATTTCAGAACTGGCCTGTGCCTGTCTTGACTATTGCTTTAGTTTTTGTTCCAATGAATGCAATGTTTTCTTAAGTGTCAGCTACTATTTTAAGAAAGTGTTTGACATCTGCCTCCAGAACAAGGGATTTGCCTTAATTCAGCGAAAGGTTTTTGTTCATTTTGCTTTCCTTCCAAAATGATGCAATATGGAGCAAACCCCAAAATTTTTGAATATGTGGGACTTCTATAAATTTTGCACACTGCATAAACTCCTTCTGAGGTGACAATGTACACTGAAATGAAAAGTACAGAAACAGCTGAATTTCATTTATATTTTTTCTCTATTTTTTCTCTCTCCATGTTTTCAATACCAAACTGTGTTGATTGTTGAAGGACCTCCAGTTAAAAATATAAAAAAGAGAGCAAGGGAAAGTCAGAAACCTGAACCCTAGTCATCTGTGTGTCCTGATGTTGAAGTACGGTATCAAGCTAATATAGCCTAAAATAAGGCTGCTTTGTCTTTTTTCAGTTAAAATGCAGAGCATGGTATATTTTGTATAAAAATCAGTGCACATGGTATGTTATAGAATTTTAATCTCCAAATACTGGTTTACTTGTGCTCCACTTAAAGCATGATTATTAATACTGAAATAGTGCAGAATTTGTAAGATGGCCATTCTTCTGTGTGCAGCCTCAGTATGTACTAGTGGAACATGTCCTCTCTCATGCAGGTAGCTAATGCTACTACCATTCCCTGTTTTAATAATAGAATGTGCAGCACAATCTGGACATTTTGATTCAATGTTGGGTCTTTCTGTAAAGACATCACTTTTTGTTAAGCTTTTTTACCTTGCTGCAGGATGTTATGTCATGTCTGTTAACCAAGAATGTTTGAAGCCCCATTTCAGCTGCCTTATACTTTTACATGAATGAATTCTATATCATGGCTGTCGGCCTCAATTTAGGTTTGCACGAGTCAGAAACTCTGCAGTACTTTGAGGAGGAAAGTGAATGATATTGAGACTCAACTACCAGCTCTACTTGAAGCCAAAATGCTGGCTGTTTCAGGTAAGTTTTAAGTAATGAGAAGGATTAACAGTGTTAAGGAGTGTATTAGAGCAATCATTGACCTCTTCATAACAGACTTGTTAGGTAAAGTTTTTCATGTGCTTGAGTAGATCCCTTGAAGTCATGACCAGCCTGCAGAACTAAACTATGGCTATGCCATGCCTTGTGTAAGGTACTTCAGGTCCTTCACCACAGTTTGGAACTACTGGCAAAGCTGATACTGTCAGGTATACCATTAACATGTAAAACACATGGTATTTTTCCATAGGTGAAATTGATGTATAATCATCAGTGGCTGTTCCAGGACTCCTCAAGTTACATTCTTGGAGCTCTCTAGCTAAGTTGTGAATGTATAGCTAAGGTATCATAATTACAAGTCTGGCTTTAAATGACACTTTAAAATGGAATACAATAATTGGCAGCTTCTGCTGTTCAGATCATTAAACAACTAATGTTGGCAGCAAAAGAGCACTTTCATCCTTGGAGCACTCATGCATATTATTTACAACCAGTAAACTACTGAAATGTGATTACAGAGTGTGATACATAACAGTCTTACATGCCACTTGCTTGGGATGGCTGCACTGTTCACCAAGGAAAAAAGGCAAATCACAGCCCTTTCTTTTAAGTTGGAAGAGGTGGATTTTCTAATTCAGCAAATGTTTCAGTAGGTGTCTCTCTGCTAAACACCTGCCTCAGAGAGGAAGCTGAGTATAAGGGAATGTGGAATTGAGTGCAAGTTTCCAGTGTTACACCAAGTAAAGAAAGGCTAAAAGGTTTTTGATACATGTTAAGATGAGATGTAGCTCTCCATATGTGATTTATCTTTTCAATTATATAGAAGAATCTATATTGCACACACAAATGATTTTAAAATGAAACCTTGGGCAGTGTCACATGTTTTGTTTGCCAGAAGTGGATAAAGTCAGGCTTGAGCAAAGTCTTAAAGGAAATTAAAGCCCAGATCCTGTATTGTTGCTGAGCATGCTCAATTTCCTTTCTTCTCATAATACCTTTTTAAAATGGAAATACTCTTTATTTTTCTCTCAGCCTGTAAGAGGTAAACCAGGCAATCGTCCTTCTCTACCCTTAGACTGTTTAAATGTAGGTGACTTTCTTACTTTCAGAAAAGGGGTTTTATGGCTTGGGAACAAAACAGCCCATAAACTGGACATGCAGTAGCAACTACAGACTACATGTAGGAAGCAGTTGGCCAGAAATGCTGTATCTCAGTCTGACACTTGGAGAGAGTGAATGACAGCTTGAGGATCATTTCCAAAACATTCATAACAGCATTTTATACTTGTTAGCTCTTGAAAGAGGTTGGTTGTTTCAGGAATGAATTCCAAAGTCAATCTCATCCTGCTCCTTCTATAAACTGTTTTTTTACAATTGTTTGACTGCTTTCTATGCTTTTTAAGAAGTATCAGTGCAATTTCTTTCTGCTGATAAAGACTGCACTGTTTCTTTTTTTATTCTTGCTTCAGCGAATTTTAATGACTGCAAATGGTACAATCTTAATTTGTTACTAAGGCAAAATTCTGCGTGTCATGGTTAAAAATCAAGGATGAAGGATACTTTGGTGACAGTGGATACTGTTATTTCTTTACCTCATTGTAAGATGTAACTGTAAATGTATCTGTATGATACAAATACATTTAGTCAATGTGGTGGTACTTGTTTATGTAAAATGCAGAGCTGTACACAGAGGACACAGGGGAGATACAAGAATAAAAAGAAAATTATTTCTCTGAAGGTCTGAAAGTGAAAAAGAAAAAAAAAACATTTGAAAACACCAGAAATAGTCTTAGAGCATGAGGTGAATAAAATCATAAAAGCCAAGATACAGAGTGAGTTGCAGCTAGCTAGCACAGAAGCAAATCAGGAAGAAAATATAAAAATAGCGGGGGTTATGTTGTTGTCTTTTGTTTTTGTTGTTGTCTTTTGGTTTTGTTTTTTTTTTTTAACTTTCTAAGGCAAAACCAGCGGATAGTGGATAATGGAGAAGCATAAATTGCTTTCATTTCTGTGTATTTCTGTGGTAGGAGTAAATGAATGACACCTCTTAAGGAAGAAGATTCTAAATACTGGCTAAGATTTAAGCAAGGTACTTTATGTGCGTACTCTCTGGTCTCTCAGCCAACAATGTTAATGAACAGCCTGGGTATACTCAATTACTAGGAGTTGGAAGAATGTTCAATTGGGTAATATGCAATTATTTAAGGACAGTCTTGGACCAGCATGAAGTTCAGAAAGAATTATAGTGTGCATATGTACAGTGTGCATATGCAGTAATAATATAGTTTAGTGGAGTATTTACGTGTTTTCATTTAGTCTGGGAACATCAGGCAGGGTTAAATGTCTGTTACTTCTTATGTAGCAATTAGATCATTCATTCAGGCAGTTTCTTCAGTGGAATTCTAATGGATACTGAGAACAACCGTTTATCTCTATACAGTTGTCACATCATTTTTCATTAAAGTAGCATTTTTCTTGAGGAAGCAGCAAGAGTTAAGTGACTTTGGAACAGTGTCAAAGCAAAAAGGTGACTTTATCCCAAAAGTTTGATTAGATGAACTAAAGAATAGAGTTATTAAGTGAAAATTAACTTTCAGAGCTTGTATGTGGTGGCTTAATGATGTGATGACTTGGAAAGCATGATATATACCTCACCTTTTAATGGCTGTCTTGACAGCTTCAGACAACATTCATTTGCTACATGGACTGTACATTCTAATACAAATACATTGATTTAAAGTATTGATGTATTTGCACCAAAAATGTAAGAATATAGTTGATATTATTTTTGGAGGAAAACGCCATGATAAATGCAATGCAAGCACAAGTTCTATTAGTCTTCTCAATGCAACACCGTGGAATTTAAGGCTATATGATAAATGATACTGTAAAAACATAAGAGACAATACTATGCATATAAATGCTTCTCCCTCCTATTATTTCATCTTGGGAAGAAGTATACAATTAAATTTGCAAGAGAAAAAAGAAAGTTTGTGAATATTTGGATTATTGAAGGCCATAAAATAAATTTCAGTGAGCTTTCTTATGGGAAAAAGAAAAGAAGCCCATACTTACATGTTCAAGAGGTATTTCTATCAACAGTTACAATTCAGAACCTTTATATCAACAGCTCACTTACATCTGATTGGCCTCTTGGGACAAATAACTAATGGTTAATGCTCTGGAGATGCTAGTCCAGAATTTTCCTCCAGAGATAATTAGAAGGATCCTATATTGTTCCACTTGTTAAGTCAGTAGTTTTCGGTAATCATAGGTAATAAGTACTCCTGATGTCATGAAATGTTATTGTTGATATGCACATTTGTAAATTCTCATTGATGAACTATTGTAGTTTAGCATCTAGTAGATATTTATTTAATTATTAAAAAGCCACTTTAATGTCAGTGCTTAGAAACCTGCATGTGATTTTTCCACCAGCTGCTTCTTACAGTGGGTCTTAACATGCTCATAAAATTTTGTAGTCAGTTATGGGAAGAACGTGACAGTACCTGGTGCTCTGTTCTTTCTCTCAGTATCATGTTACTGTTTAGCACAAAACTTTTCTAGGGAATAAATTTCAGATTAAATAATTTGAAGCTGGTAAGAAAATTCAAATGAGATGATGTTTAAGCAAGTGTGAACATAACTGTAGAAATACTGTTGAAACTTATTTTCATACTTTGAGCTGTTTTGTACAAGACAAAATGATAAGAAATGGCGTGTTTCTGTTGTTTCCTTAGTGAGAAAATAATTTGGGAATAGGAGGGAAGATGTAAACTAAAATGAATTTTTAGTCCTGTTTCATCTCTTTCCTATATTTGAATAAAAGAGGTTTATGGAGGTGCATTTTACAATGTTTTCATGGACTCTCTGAGAACTTTTTCCCTCTTAAGAATGCATATTAGCATGGGACTAGATAGCCAGAAAGTGAATTAATGGGAAGGTAAGGAGGCATGAATGAAATAGTGTTTATTATGTAGTTGTCCACGAGATACATGTCGTTAACTTTCTGTTTTTAAAAATACAGACCCAAACACAGAAGTTAGAGTGAGGTGACTTGAAGACTGAAAATCTTTAAATTGTCTATACCAGTAAGAGACCATGTGTCATGGTCCTATAAATATCATTACCTCTATTTCATTAAGTAGTGGCAAGTGGGAGCTGCTTGGGAATGATGTTGTGGGATGATTTCCAGCAGTACAATATGAGTTTTTTCCCTTATGTCAATGTAAAAGCATAGTTTTATAAATAACATGATATAAATACAAGATAGCATATTTCACAAAGCTTAATTTTAGGGCTGTTGCCACTTTGGCTGCTGTTTGGTGCTCATTTAGGGCAAATTCTGCATGGATCCAACTGCAACAAAAAGAGCCCCCAGCTTTCCAGATTTGGTGTTAAGTATTCCTGTTGGGAATAGAGTGTGTTAGAGAGGGGACAGAGCCATCAGGCTGGAAGGTGCCAGTGCAGGCAGAAGGACATTTTCAGCCATCCATCTGTGGTTTATGTTAATGTGGATGCCTCATTTTCATGCTCCTGCTGTCATCTGTCATTTCATTCAGAAATATGAGGGGACACATAGTTCTTGGTATGATGTTGAGTTCTTCCCCAGATGTGCCACATGCAGCTCTTAATTTGTCTTTCACTGGAATGTAGTGGTATTCCTGGTTTCTTCAGCTTTTCTGTTTCTGAGAACTGAGGTAATGGTTGTAGAACTCGCCTAGCCTTAGAGGCAAAAATAGTAATGCTTCTTTGTGCCTTCTCATGAAGGCTCAGTTTTTTGATCAATTGGAATCCAAAAGAGGGCTGCATCTTGTCAGATGATATATCTGGTTCCACACTTTCCTATTCCTGATTGCAGCAGCAGCCTGGGTTGATGGATTGGAGGCATATTCAGATTAATTCTACTTCATGACTGTGGTGTCTGGTTCCAGCATTCAATGCTGTGTATGGTCATGTCTTCCCACAACACTCACTTTATA